TATCATTCAAATATATGCACCAACAACCAGAGCCAAGGAAGAGGCGATAGAAGATTTTTACCAACTTTTACAATCGGAGATTGATCGAACATGCTGAAGTGAGTAGAAAGATAAAAAGATGAAAGACGATTTGTTGTTCCTAGTCATAAGAAGGAACCATAAAAGCCAGAGTTCAGACGAGGGAATACAGAAAAGAAAAAAAGAAAGAGGAAGAAAATAAAGCACAGGAAAGGTAGCAATAGAGAAGAGAAGCTACGGCAGGGGCGGAAAGAGATGAGAGAAGAAAAACCAGTAAGACCAACATTGAAATCAGAAAGACACAGTAGAGAACAGCCCTTTGAGCCTCAGCAGCCCCTAAGGGCTGTGTCGCTGACATCGCTAAAGGAGCAGAATTACATCAGGTTCTTTTCAGGCAACCAGCCAGCATTCACTGAGATGAACTCAGTGGCAAAGGTGTATGTAAGAGAATTTACCAATTCCTCAAACATTTAACAAAAAAAAGTTAAAACAAAGATTGTAGGGACCAAGAATATTAACTTGCCATCTGACTTTTTAGAAATTTACTTTAGATCACTAGGCTGAATAAATGTAAAGTTAATGAAATTTATAAAGGCAGAAAAGTATTATTGCCAATATAATAAAAATGAAAAAGTAAATTACAATCCTTCTATATAAACAATCCACCTCTTGAAATGCTGTGTGCAGACTCACCATTAGTGGCAGCAATAGTAAACTCATCACCACAGGATACCCTGATCACTTGTTTCCCACCTAAGGGTCCTCCCAACAGGTTGATTCCGAGACGCTTCTTATAGTTTCCAACACCGAGCTGCCCACACTTATTGCAGCCAAAGGTCAACAGTCGGCCTCGCTCTGAAAGAGAAGGAGAAACATACTACCAGAGTCAAGGGAGACATAGCAATGCAGTGTCATGGACAAGTTTCTGATCCTTGTTGATTGCTTTCAATTCGAGCGCAACTCAGAGCGACCCCATGAACAAAAGGCCTGAAGCCCCTCTACAACTACTGACTTTTATCAAAGTTCATAGAGATTCTGGAGGCATGCTATTTACTGCAACATATAAACATGAAGCTAGCCCACAGTCCTGGGTCCAGGGAGCTATGTTACCCAATAACTATGATCATTCAGTCAGAGCCAATACCCACTGCTATTGAGTTGATCCTTAGCTTAGCAGAGCCAATGGGTGACTATATTTGCTTTGTTTTTCTGCTGTTGCATTTCACTGTAGAAAATGAGTACTGTGTAACTTAGAACGGTTATAGAAAATACTAATTAGAAAAACAAGCCTGGAATTATAATTTACAAATCATACTGAGTTTTCAGTTACAGACATTTTGTTTTATAACACTACTTGTAACTGATTAATGTAACTAATTACAATGTCTAATCAAAAGCCTTATTGGAGATTGCCTTTCCCTTCACCTAGTTTATCTATCTATATTAAATTTTACTCTCACCTCTTCCCCTTCTCTTCCCTCTTGACCGTCCAAGATTGATTCTATCTGTGAGTAAATCTTTCCTTAGCTTTTAGTGCTGCACAATATTCTAATATGTGAACATACCAAGTTCTTTAGCCATTCATCTGCTGGAAAACTCAGTATGATTTGTAAACTTTCACTGAAATAAAATAAATTAAACACAAACAAAAGAGATAATACTTGAAAGAACAAACAAGACCGAGCTACTAGGTCATGTATATACAGCTGTGAATCAACTCACCATCAATAGCAGCTGTGTGCGTCTTGCCTGGGGCAACGGTTCTGATTTTATAAAAGGACAGCTGCTTGGCCAAGGTAAAAGAGGTTGTGTAGGGAACTTCATGGTATGCCTGAAACAAGGTAAAATACAAAGCACAGAGTCATAACGTAACAATAACAAATAGGGCTGTAATCAAGCTTGGAAAGGGTCAGGCTAAGTTAAAGGTCTTGCAGACAAACATATTACTAAGAAGAAGGAAGTGCTGGGTAGTTTCCCATCTCCAAAAGAATACAGGAAGAAACAGGAGCAACAGGGAATCAGAAGATTCGATTCAATTAACATATGTATTAAGTAAGAAACTTGGACAATAGAAGTTTCAGATTCTGAATTAAGATGTGCACAACATGAACACTCCAGCTCGATCCCACTTCAGGACTGGAATTTGCATTAGTTATATATTCTGCATCCCTAACAAGGATAGGACAAAGAGTGACAATACTGAGGATGCTCTCCTGTCCGGAGAGCAGCCGGTTTAATGAAATTTCAGATACAGGTCAGTGTTTCTCAGCACTATTTACATGGGTTGTTAAAACTCATGTTTCTTTCAGATAAGCATTAAAAAAAAAAAAATTCATCCTCTCATGTAAGGTTAAGATTTCACAACAAATCCAATGTTATAACAAAACACAAATCAAGTAATGGTAATTCTGAATATACTTTTCCAAACTACACACTCTCTAGCCTCTTCAATAAATTTCTATTTGATCCCTCAAAGGAGAATGACTGCTTCAGAGACTGGAAAAATGTATCTTTATCTTTTCCATTGAATCAGGAAAACTGGTCTCTTGATTCTTTAGAAATGGCAAAGAGGAAGAGACAAAGACTTAACATCGGAGGTAAATTTCACGCAAAGCTGCAAACTGGTTAATTCTTATAGAGCTCTATTCTTCTAAAATTGGTTTATTCGTACAGCTACACTTAAGAATCACCTGGGAATCTTGTTATACTATAGATCCTGATTCAGTGTTTCTAGAGTAGAAATGCACATTTTGGACAGGGGTCAAACCAGAATAGATCAGTTCAAAGTCCTGATTCCATGACATCTTTAAAGAGGAAGACGATAATTACATTTAATAAGCCTGAACAGAACCAGTGCTTTGTGAGCAATTAATCCAAAAGTTCTCCAGAGAGCTGATTTAAGAATATATATCCTTTTCATAACAATTTTCTAATACATATTTCATAACATTCTGCATTTGTATTTTAAAGAAGGTAGATTGTGAACACCATAACTTTATTCTTTGTAATTAATATTTATTAATGGATAACTAGCAGAATGTAAATAAATATACAGTTTTCTTACTCTACACTTTAATCCTTGTAAAACTATCACTCAGTTCAAGATAACCAACTACTTCTAGCACACTAGAAGGAAATTTCAGATTCTGTCTCAGTTATGCCTTCCTCACGTAATTTATTCCGATGTCTGCCATCATAGGTTGTTAATTCTGCCTCTCCTTAAATTCATGTAAATGGAATTTGACAGTATGTATTCTTTTTGTGGCTGCCTTCTTTTTCTGAACATTTCTGTGAGATTATCAGTTTATTCTTAATTCAAATTCCATGATCACGAACCATTAATAGCATTCCAAAGGATTCCAACCGAGAGAAGTTCTGACAATGCGCTCAGGACACCAAAGGGGGCACTCACTTCATGGTTGATGATTCCAGACATGCACTGATTCAGGCCCAGTTTGTTGAACTCATTGAGCCCACAGGCCAGCACTTTGCCTGACTGGGTCAGCAGAAACGTCCCATCACAGCCACATTGCACTGAGACAATAAGCAAGGCTTTGGGGACATCCACCTGCAGGATATTAAAAA